TGTGCAAGGTGCTGGTGATTCAGTAATAAGCAAAACCACACACTGTCCCTACCTTCAGGTTTCATGGAATTCGAAGTCTATTTATTTTCCCTCAGGCTACCCACTAGAATTTTATAATATCTATTTTAAAATATGTCTTTGATTGAAACATATCACCTGCTCTGGTAGTTGTTACTGGAATAGAATACTTTTTGAGAAATGACAACAAAATGTTGTGAATACTAAATGCCAGAATGAAAATTCAGTTGCACTTCCAGCTGTTAACCTATAGTCAGGTGATTAGGGGTGAATACCTAGCCACATCTCTGTGATAAGAGAGTAATTCCTTCCTTCAAAATGCTAAGAAATAGCACTCCTAAATTATGTAATAATAAATTCAGTACAGTTCAACATTTAAAGGCATAAAACTTGTCTTTGAATTTAAGGGTCTGATTGTTGAATTTGAGTAATTCATAACTTAATGCTGAGCGTTTTAAGACTTTAAGAGCTCAGCTGCTAACCAAAAGGTTGGCAGTTCAAATCCACCAGCCCTCCTTGGAAACCCATTGGGCAGTTCTACTCTGTCCCATGGGGTCGCTATGAGTCAGAATTGACTCAACGGCAAGGGGTTTGGTTTGTTTTTGGTACTTTCTTTGCTACTATTCTTTTTGGTTGGCAGAAGCAAAATTATCAAGGACTAATTGTCTCTCCTTTTCATTTATTCAGCGAAGAATTTCGTCAACACCTACCACCTAAAGGGCCGTCAAGACTAAAAATGCCTTCCTCTGTGCTCCCATAGCGTTTTGTACATTTAAACAAGTGGCTACACTTGGTAACTCTGGACAAGTTACTTAACCTCTCAGAGAATGAAAGTTCTACCTCATAGGATTCTTAGGAAAAACAAGCACCTTAACAACATACAGAGAGAACACTGAGAGTAGTGCCTGTCACGTGGTGAGTTCTGTATTAGTGTTGTATTAACACTAACGTTATTAGATACCCCTTATCAAAGAGTATTGGAATTAATTGTTTCTGTATCTGCATTACTTATCCACTGTAGTGTGGACACCTTAGGAATCATGTCTGTTTTCCCCGTTTGTACCTGAAGAGCCTTATATGTTGTTGCTGTTAGGTGCCGTTGAGTCGGTTCTGACTCATAGCG